GTGATGTCGCCCAAGGACGACAAGATGGGCGGGGATCGCTTGAGGGCCATAATGGCCAAAATACAGTCAGCAACGTAGCAAAATCCAGCAGCATGTGATTTCTGTGCATGATGCCTAGTTATGAACCATTCGGGAGTCAGCAGATGTCACTGCAATAAGGCGTAATGCACGACCTGCCGCCATCCCAGGAGATCGCAACGTCAGAAATGTTCTTCACTAGAACGTTTGCCGCTGTTAGGGTTGCCCCTGCTACAAGTGGGACATAATCGTGTAATTGTGGAAAAGGGGGACAGTCCTGGGCATGCCGGGAGTTTGAAAAAAAAAAAACACCAAGGTAGAGATACAGTTCCTCACATCCTCCAGCCCAAATCCGCCATCTCCCCCCAAGTTGGACGAGTTGACCGGATCGAGCACAAAGTCGAGATAATCACGGTCATGGTAGAGTGCAAGTTCTTTGTATGTCGCCCTGGTTGGATTAATGATTTGTATACGTTTTGTGCTTGAAAACTCCGTTGACATGAGCCCCATAGAACTAACCAATGAATGGACCATCATTGATCTCCTTTTGTTCGATGGCAGGAGGGAAGAAACCTAAAAGATAATTTTGGGATTATAATCAAACAGACTGTATATAAGAGGCTCCACCGTTGTACCTTTGCAAGTTCTTGAGAAGCAATGTAAGCCACAATGGGTTTTGTTCCAGAACTAGTCGTTGGTGGTATGTCCATTTCAAAAACGGATTTTTAGAGGATGATTCCTTCAATAATATCGGATGTCCCAAATTATTGCGCTGGACCCTAGCGGTGACTCGGACCGAGCTAAAAGTTTCGACTTTCGGCACTTCCCGCCGGCAAATGGCGACCACTCGATGCAAAATGAATTGTTCAGACTCGAACTTTTCTTTAGTTTCTGCTGCCCTTATAGATTTCTTGCTTCCTGAGGCCTGCTACTTTTCATTTAACCCATACGTCTCTATTTAGGGTTAAAAGGCGGAAATGCGAAGCTCGCCCGCTCCTAGTTATTCATCCATCAAACACTTGAACTGGCCAATAATCAGTCAGCCGTGATCACTGCGATTTTGGACACAGTCTACTTACGGTACTCCCGATGTGTCACCTGTTGTGGGCTATCCACTATGAAACTGGAAAAAACTCAAGTTCAAACAGAATACTCAAGGAAAGCAAAAGAGTGGATGGCGGGCCGCTAATACCATATTGTAACTATCAACACGAACCTATATTTTCTCGAATATCACCATTTACCTAACCCAGTGCACACTATGCTCCCGGGAGACACAATAGGTCTTATTTTTTTGTTACCAGACTCCCCATACCCGCATCCCAATCCAAGATTGGAAGTTATGGGCTATCTACCTCTCTCCAACCAGGCCCACGCCCCGAGTCGAAATCAAATTTCTAGCTCTCTAGTGATCCCCTTCCCTGGAATTTGGACTTAAATCCCGTCATGCTCTGGTGCCGATATTAAACTCCAAGGTTCCAAGTGTCACTCATCACTTACCCATAACAGACTCCAAGTAACTTGTTTTACCTCTTAAACACCTTCGATACATCACGTATCTCATCGGCCCTTTACTATTTCTCACTAGCATTTGACACCTGTGACAAGGTGGGGGACGCCTCTGAAGGCTTGGTCCATGACACAATTCACGACCATGTCGCTGTATCGCCTTGCTTCTGAGTAGATACTACCTGAATGTTTGTTTGGGCTGTTGTCAGGGTTTACTGTATTTTACTACTGTTGATATCCATCAAGTTGAACGCCGTATCTACAGAATACAGATGCGAACATCCGCCTGTATATCACGCTCGACAGAGATACAGAGAATGTATGTATTTCAGGTATGTGCCCCATTCACTATAGGTCACAGGTCAGGATTTGCCTGTTCTACTATAGATCACACTTCTAGTTTGTGCCTAAACAGATGTTAACTTGGTTGAATTATTAAACTACTATTTTACATCCGATTAAATCACAAGTTACTACGATGTTTTACTTATAAAGGTTCTGAAGTCTAAAATAATGCGAGTAATGTATGTAATTAATCGTCACCTAGAGTTTTGGAGGAATCAAAGCGTACGCAATGTAAATACCCACTGGCAAGTAGTATGTATATCGATTACACGGTGGTGTCACCACGCGGTTTGAGTTCTTTGTAATTATCTTCCGCAATATCGAGAGAGGCGGTATTAATACTAGTAACTGAACGGGCATGTGGGTGACTTCCCCCGAGTCCGTGATCCAAAGTTACGGTGGGGGTAGTATTCTTGACAAACTTGAAGTTTACACTAGCGGAAACTACCGGGGGAGCCGTACTTTGCTTCCTTTCCTCGAACAGCTTTATGTTTCGATAGACTCGGCATGCCATGGAGGCACCAAGGGCCAAAGACAATGGTGTGAACATTACACGGTAAGCCGACGCCTCTCGAATATAAAGGACAATGATGTTGCCAAGGTTAATGGAGACCATGATCCTGTGCAACGGATCAGTTTCTTTATACCTTTTCTAAGTATGAGAGTCTTAACAGATAATACTGCTGACCACCTTGCAGAACCGCTCGAGAAAAACGGGAAAGTGTCCTTCCAGAAAAGAATCTGTTCCAGGAAAGCCCAAAAATATTGTGGCCACTGTTGGTTGGCATCGCAATTTTATACGAAACTGCGAAGAAGATGATAGTATCGAATAATAAGGCCATGATTTTGCTGCCAATAATGAAGTCCTTTTTGTCGTTGGTGATGCAGTAGTTGGTGTGGCTAAGGTGGCTACCATGGAGTCCGAATGGTAGTACTACCAAGGTGCCAACGTAGACGAGCCAAAGGCAGAAGAAGGCCCATCGAATTATCCTATTGTCGAGGTAGACAGCTTGAGCCCGGCGAAGAAAAAGGATAGCAGTGCAAGCTGCCCCAAGGCCACTAATCACCGCCATACCTAAATTCATAGCTTGACAATTTGCGATTGGATGAGCTGTAAGTACGAGCCAATGTCTCCAACCTTGATATACTATAGCTTTTCATACTTACTGTACGAAAGTACACTGAGGATAAGAAAGGCAATTATAAAAACCCTATACATGTTAGTGTCTTGATGTGCACATCGTCTGAGTTCAAGAAGCAGATCCACCTTGAGAAAATGAAGCACAAGCTCACTAGCCCGACATCTTTCCGTAAAATCCTGATATCCTCCGGAATATAAATAAGCACATCCCATATCGTGGCCTAAATACACTCAAATTATGAGCACAGTGACATGATATGAGGCTTTACCGACCCCAAGCACACTCAAATAAATGTTCCTGTCAAACTCGAATCTTGCACCTTTAGAGGGTGATAAATGGTTGAGGTAGGTGTCGGGATTGCGGAAGCTAGACTGGCTAGCTCCAGATAAAGTAGGTGACATTGCTAGGTGTGATGGGGGTGAATGAAATAGTTCATAATCAAGCTTTTAAATGACTCCTCCTTATGGTGCGGTATTATTTTTACAATTGTTTTCATGAAAATTTAAACGATGTTAAATTTGTGTTGAACAGGGTGAATGATCATCAGCCTTAAATAGCTGTAACAAGTATTTTCGAGACCGCATAACAGCCACATTCACTTACTATAATCAGAATACCAATCTTGAGAGTTCGGAATATGGAAGTCAACATCAACAGCCAGTGGATAGTTTGAATGATGAGGTGATTCCGAAAAACGACAGGCCCCACATCCATCACTAGATCAATACGGCTGCTTCGGCAACTCTATTGGGGATACTCGGGGTGAACCTGATGTGATATATATCCGGGAAGAAATTTGGATGTATTTGCTGTGGCTACATAGCATGCTGAGCATGGCCCTGATTACGTCGGCAAGTTTAAATTTGACTGGAATTTGATGCAGAGTCTTCTTTTCGGCAAACTCGGCCAAGAGGGCATTTATAGTACTTTATTCAACCTCATTTAAAGTTCCATAAAACAGAATACTTAGGTTCCAATGTCTCTGAGGGTTAAAACATAGACTATGAGAAATTGGGATGAACGGATGGTGCGTCTCCATTTACAAACGACAAAGTTACATATTTATGGAATATTATAAGCATAGGTAATTGCAGCGCATCGTTAAGGGAACTATAGTCAAGTTCCCATAGAATGTAGCGTAGCCACGAATAGATTAGATTAATTTTTTAGCGATGGAAGCAAAATGGACAGTGTATACTTTCTGCAAAAGAAACTGGGTTGGCCCGTACTAGCAAGGCTAAATTAGAAGGCCTAAACTTGTAAAACGTACAGAAAATTCGGTTGATAATATTGTGAAACGTAGAATGCAGGAGTTCGATGTTAACCTGGGTCAGTGACCATACTTACTTACAGAAAGGTCCTAAAACAGACTCGTTTCAATGTATATATCAGATATAATTTTAGGACATCACTGACGTGGGTAACGACACGAAACATTCACAATTGACGCACTGAATTTTAGCCCTCCAAGTCTAGTTGCGCTCTTGATGTTCGATGCATGTAAAAGTGGTTAGGAAAAGTAGCTTTGGTCCAAACTCCCTCCGTTACCTCCATTCAGGAGGTACGGGGCCCCTTGGAAACACCTAGCGGCGAAAATATGCCGTACATGTATGTATAGTTCGAAGGGAGACCCCTATGCAACGAGCGGGAGTTACGGTGTTCATCAAAGTTCCTTAAACAAACGCCTACGATGGGCGGTGATCAGCTATAATATGCAGCGACTAATTAGCGTTTGCTGTACGTACATATCGAAGCCAAGGTAACAGTGTTCACAAGGTGCATTACTTCGGTTGGTGTCTTGGATGTTTTACTTGACTGCACGAATAATTAAAATAATTAGTCAAGGCTCAAAGTAGGTTTATCCCCTGTAATCTCGATATAAAATTGACGATTCTTTCAGAGCTGCGCAAGAGTTGAATATAGAGGAATAATGGACGCTACCAAATCCGTGAAGACCTATCGAATCGCAGCCATTTCCTTTCGTAGGTCCCTATAGATTAGTGGTTAGATCACAACGTTGTGGCGAATCAGGCCCGTTGAGACGGAAGTTCGAATCCTCCTAGGGACAATTTATTTTACATTTCTCTTCAGTGTGTATACATCGGAGGGAAGTCAAAGGGTAAAGAGGCGTACATGGAGAAATTCCTAAATATCGAAGTTACAGGGTTTAAATCGGGTACAAAAAAGTCAGTAGATATGAAGTTGAGAGTGTTTCTGTGACTGGTCGGATTTTCAGAACAAGCATTGTCCGTGTTCAAAAAAATGAACAGATAAAAAAATACGCGCACGCTACTCAAGCTCCCTGGATGGATTGTATATATTCCTTGATCTTCATCTCGTACGAATCAAAGATTGTCAGGGCGTCCACGACCCTCCTTGATGCCTCGAGGTCCTTCATGAAAGCTTCTTTGAGAAGCACAGCATCCTTTGCAAGGTAGTCGATACCTAGTGAAGTGCACAATATGATTCCAGCCTGATGCGTATAACAGAAATATAGTGGATACTTACCTGCCTCTGGGAGGACGGGTCCAGTGTTGCCTATTGGGAGCAAATCAGACGCGGGTAAGACCCCAAGCTGATCGAGGATGGGTGCCGATATAGTTATGTGATTTGGGCGAAATGAGACGAGAGCGAGGACCTATGATATCGCGTGATTTAGTCAATGCTTCTCAAAGATAAAAATAAGTGACCTCTGCAACGGAGACAATGCTAGAGTATCATAGTGCTTGGTTTAGTACTGTACATATATAAAAAATACTAAGAGTCCTGACCTGGCAGCCATAACGAGGGTTTCGGAACCTTTTAGAGCTTGTATTATAGCCTGGATGGTCGGCGACGCGGGATGTTCTGTAGCAGTATCTTTGTATTCTTTCCACAGTGAAGGCTCAGAGTGGACTCGGAGCTCTTTGTATGCAAACAGGTGTAATTCATGTGAGGGCGTAATCGAGCAGTGAACAAAATTTATTCACCATTGAAAAATGCGATAACATACGAACACCCTGCCTGCGCAGCAGCCTGTGCCTGAGCGACAGAAAATACACAAGTTGCCGAGGTGTTGATGTTGTCTTTTCTGAGTAGTTGACATGCCACCAATGACTCAGGAGTGGCGGGCACTTTGATACAGAGCCGCGTCCTTAATGTGAGTAATGTGAGTATGGTTAGTAAGAATCAGTTAAAACTGTACTTTGGTATCCCATGTGCCTCAAAGAGGGAAACAAGCTTATTTGCATATTCAATGGTCTTCCGGACGTTGTATGCAACGGACGGGGAAATCTGAGTAAGGACTTTTCCTTGCAGGTGAGGATACACCCGCTTTGCAAGCAAAACGGTCTAAATGCAGGCGAAATTAGCTGGTGGGCTACCTGAAATCGCGGGACGGGTGTATACCACGACGTCGACAATGTCCTGGAGAGTTGTTGTTGGATCACGCCTATCATTGGGCTGGTTATTTACATAGGCGATGGCGTCTTTTATGAGTGTGACGTTCTCGGCTCTGGTCAACTCGCCGAACATGATGGCCTGGTTGGAAGTCATATTACAGAAAGTCTGATTCTGGGATGTGTGGCGTCTTGCAACATCCGGGTCCATGGAATCGACGTCGACAGATATAACTGAGTGAATTTGAGAAAGTAAAGTGTTAGACATGGCTGTAGAGAGGATTGGACGGTTGGATTCAATCGAACCATGGGTACTGTGGAGTATAAGAATGGTGCTTGAGCCGGCTTCCACGGTAATCTCACAGCACTTTCGACCATTATGTCAATAGTTGTATTCTGATTTCACATAGTACTACATAACAGGGTTGTTGTGCTCACTCCTACGAAAGTCACGTGTCTAACCTTCAATCGCGTTCAGTGCTGTCACCATCAGACTCATTATATTCAAATTGTCGTTAAACGTTAAACGTTCAACAGTGATACTTCGGCTCCCCTTTTCTCGATATACTATAGCAATTTAAACCCAAACCAGCTGGTAGGGCCGTTGTTGATTGCACAATGTCGCTCATCAGCGACACCGAGTCCGTATTTTAACCTTCACGTATATCTGACATCTTGGCTAACGTGCTTTTCCTTCAAGCTTCCTCATTCATAGTCTGCGACTCTCATACCTTCGTGATGCTGAAGACCCTTATGGCGCCCGTATAATTACTCTGGACCCATCGTACAGGTCCAATCCATACATCATTGCAGCGTCATTGGCAGACCCAGAGCGATGGCCCGAACTCGCCATGCCATCGAGTCCACAGTTGAGCGAAGATGACGGGGAACGTCCTTCTGGATTTCCGGGAGCCCGCCTCAAACACACACAGACCATCATGGGGGGAAGAACTGGTGGACTGGGAATGAGGGTGCACGCGAAACGGGCGTCTACCTCAAAGCGCTTGTCTGGAACACCACGTCAAGTTGACGTGAAGAATTTCGTGTCTGATAATGCTCCTGTACAGGAATCATTGAGTACTTCTGTTCCAGTCCAAACGTCGGTTGCGAAATCTCCACTGAAGACCGCAGAGCCAAGTACTTCGCAGCCTCAAGTACAGATTCAGGAGCCGACAATGATCGAAGAAGCCCCGGTGGCTAAGGTGGTACAATTTATACCCAAGTTCAAAGGAGCTGCGGAAATGGAGGCAAGGCGTCGCGTTCGTATGGCAGCACGTCGTGGACCTGGAGGAGCGTCTCAGCCTCCACCGCCACCTAATTTGGACTTTTCTTCTTCAGATGAAGAAGGTGGTAATCCTATGGCGGATGATTCGTCATCTTCGGGAGATTTTGATGATGATGTCCCTGGTGAAGTAGATAGCATGGATGAAGGAGATGAGTTTGATCCGTAAGTCGAGCTCGAATTAGCTTACTTTGACTATCTTCGCTAACCTAAGTCAAGAGAATTTCCAGCGTCAAGAGCTGGCATGAACTATGACAGTGCAATCGAGGTCTCATCAGTTTTCTCAGCTGGAACGACCTCCTCTGGCCCTATATCGGCATCCTCTCCGACCAGTGGTCCCTCGCGCGCCCGTTTAAGCCCTGTTTCCGAAAGTGAACGGTTATCAGATGGCCGACGCCGTCGCCAGACACAGGATTCCCTTGCTGGGATGTCCTTTGAGATGGTCACTCCTGCTCCCAGTGCAAGGCAAGAGACCAGAAAAATGGAGCGGTCACGAAGCCGGACACGAAATCCAAGTCACAGTTTTTCATCAACTTCGTCTGCTCCCACACTAGACATTTCTTTCGCGCGAAAGAAAGTACCGCCTATCAAACCACTCAAATCATCATTATCTGCTATGCTTGCGTCGTCCGACGCCTCATCAAACCCATTCGCTGAGCTGTATGCCTCTATCTCTGGGCGGGGAGAATCCGCATCCACGAATGTGCAAGTATACTTCCCACAGGCGAGGCAGCCTGTAGGCAAGGCAATGGACTTGAATGTGAGGAAAGATGCCACAGTTGAAGAGGTTATTGGATTTTCCCTATGGATGTATTGGAAAGAAGGCTGGCTCCCGAAGTTGGATGAGGGCTTAAGTGGAGAGGACGATCCCAGATGGGAAACGAAGGTGTCTGCCGTAGGATGGATTCTAAGAATTGCAGAAGATGACGGAGAGGTCGATGATGATTTCCCTCGTGTGTTGTTCAGGTTTTCTGGTGTAGCCCCCATCTAACTGATCTTAATCGCCCAGCTCCTGATAGGCTAGGTAGAATTTCCAAATTTAATGCCGATGCCTATGCCATCCTGGAAGCTACACCTGCTCAAAGTATGTTTTTGTTAATGTTTATGCAACCTGCTCACTCATGCTTGTAGTACAACAAAATCAGCTTATCGAGTCGAAGATCCAGCGTCTTCCAGTAAGGACTACCAGGAAAGCAGAACGTCTCGCATTCCCAGGTCCCAGCCTACCAACTACGGGTCCCAGCAGCGCGGCGTTTGGGTCGGCTTTAGGGTCTGTTCCTCTATCGACGTCCTTGGGGCCATCCTCGAGTCATGGACCCCAAATATTCCTCCGTATACGTGTCGAGGATACTGCAGATGCTGTTCATATTTCGACTACAATACCTGTGTTTGTTTTCCTTTCTCATCTTTCTGTTTAAGATCAATTCAACAGATACATCAACAGGTCCGCCGGAATGTACATGCAAGAAGCCTTAGAGCTCGTGTGTCGCAAGCGAAAACTCAACGATCCAAAAGATTATGCTCTTCTGCTTGCAGATATGAGTATTCTGATCCCGTTAGACCGGACGGTTGCTAGTCTGCAAGGAAAACGAGAGCTTATCCTGATCAAACGGAGTATGCTTGGTGGGGATGTTCTAAAAGGAACTGGAAAGACCACAGATCCAAACGGTAACGGATGTTCTTACACTCTGTTTGGCCTCTTATCTGACAATGTGTGTGTAGCTTCAATCTTCAAACGGATGTCGGATACGCCAGAAATACAATTTTCGTCTATGGCGGATTACACTGCTGGATATAAGGTCCACTACTTCCATCTTTTATGGGGCGCTCATACTAATGTCATTTCTCAGAAATACACAATTTACCGGAAGGCACCGATGTTACTCGCCCGGCAGGAGCGTACACTCGCTATTGATGGAGTTTATATTCATGTCAGTTCGGGTGTATCTGATATTGGTACCAATTTGACGCATGTTCTGCAGATAATGCCGTCTACCAACAAAGCCATGAAAGCGGTATTCGATAGTGGAAAAACATCTTCCTACCACATCAAGAGTATCGCCGACGTTCAACAAACCGGTAAAACTTCCATTTTCAAACTCTTGCTCAGTCGTGGAGGGAGCAACAAGCGGTACGACTTCGAAGCGGAAAGTCCCCGACTCGCTGGTAAGTTGAGTTTTAGTACGTGAACGATTTCTCACCATTGTATTAGGAGAAATCGTGCAAACTATCAAGGGTTTGAAGGCATCACTGGAACGATCTGGGACGGTCAACAAATCTCGACGGAGCCGGCATGTCGGGTGAATTTCTGCAATCTTCTTTTCCCTTTTTCCTCTTTCCTTGTATCTTTATTCAACATGACAATCGGACTGTGTATTTTAATCAATGTCAGTGTATTGTTTATTCTCT